GAAGTTGGCCTTGTCCTACTCTTTGGCTCTGGCCAGCGCTTCCAACAGCCTGAGCACAGTAGGTTAAAATAAAACTGTGAGGCAAAAGCTGAGAGAGCACCTTGTCAGCAATGCACAACTCGCACCACTCCGCGGCGAGTAGCGCTGATGCTTTCCTGCCGTCGCGCAAGGCTGCCACGAGCAAGGAAGGCCAAGATGAGGTGCCGCTGCCACGCAGGACCGGTTGCTCGGTTTTGTCAAATCTTACTTTGGCCTTGGCATTCGCACCAAGGCAACGTGGTCAAAGTCCATCAGAGGGATCCCGAGCCACTGGACGCCGTCACGTTTTGTCCACTTTTGGCAGGGTGCACAATCCCTTGCGCCTGCCGCTGTGAACGACATCTGAACGTCCAAAAGTGGTCCGAACACGGTGTGATTTGCACAGTTTGACTTGGAAATGTGCTTCGGCCCACAACGGCGTGCATTTTTTCGACATCTCAACTTCCAAAAGTGGCCCGAGACCGTCAGTTTTTAACACTCTGGACTTCGAAATGTGCTTTGCGCCACAACAGCGTGCACTTTTTCATCTCTCATCCGGCCAGATGGCTCCGCACCCGCCGCTTTAGCGAGCCTACTTGTCGACCCTCCGGAGCCACAAATCATTTGAAAAACACAGTGTTTCGCGACTTTCCTACCTTTTCGCGCATCTGCATCTTCTTTCTTCTGACTCTGATCTTCTTGTCTTCCCACCTCTCTTTTTCATCTGTCCATATTGTCGGAAGTTTGACTTCTAAAAGTCATTAATACCAGTAGTACCGCACAAGGCGGTGGCGGAAGTTTCAAAAAAAGGAAACCTATAGGAGAGGTTGGTTGTTGTGAATCAGGGATGGCAGAGCGAAGCCACTGATGGACTGAAAGATGATTGTGCTCTCTCTCTCTCTCTCTCTCTCCGTCTCTCTTTCTCTGATTATCTACCTACCTACCTACCTACCTACCTATCTATCTATCTATCTATCTGTCTATCTTTCAATCTATCTATCTATCTATCTATCTATCTATCTCTCTCTCTATCTGTCTATCTATCTATCTATCCATCCATCCATCCATCTATCTAGCTGTCTGTCTGTCGGTCTATCTATCTACCTGTCTATCTGCAAACTTGACAACTAAGCAATTCTGCGAGACTTCCTCAGTTCTTGTTCTTAACAACATCAAAAACGAAACAATCCTGCGAGACTTCTTCATTTTTTGAACTTGACAACATCGAAAACAAAGGAATTCTGCGAGACTTCCTTCAAAAATGGAAAGTAAAGTGCAGCGCTGACAGCCTCGTACCAATGCGTTTTGCGATTTTTCCACTCCACCTATCTAAAGTACCGCGCCTGCCACGAAAAATTGATGCCAGGTCATGCGAAGTGCTGCACCTGTCACGCAAAATCATCTTAGCAAACCTACAGATCTGATGCTCCAAAATGCAACCCCTCTCAGGAAATCAGCGCCCTGACCTCCTAACATCTCTCATGACCATGTCTTTTGTACTGCAGTTGCCACGGAAAATGCATCTTTGCAGATCCTCTTCAAATGTCCCACGCCTGGCATCGTTTTTGGAAATGCGACAAAACCCTCAGGTTTTGCTCACTTTGGACAAGCCCTTGCGCCTGCCACGCGAAACGACATCTGAACCTCCAAAAGTGGCGCGAACATGTGGTGCTTTGTACATTTTGACTTCGAAATGTGCTTCGCGCCACAACGATGTGCACTTTTTCGACTTCTCAACTTCCAAAAGTGGTCCGATGCTGAAGTGTCTTGTACATTTTGACTTCGAAATGTGCTTCGCGCCACAACGGCGTGCACTTTTTCGACATCTCAACTTCCAAAAGTTGTCCGACAATGGTGTGCTTTGTACATTTTGACCTCGAAATGTGCTTGGCGCCACAACGGCAGACACTTTTTCGACATCTCAACTTCCAAAAGTTGTCCGACAATGGTGTGCTTTGTACATTTTGACCTCGAAATGTGCTTGGCGCCACAACGGCAGACACTTTTTCGACATCTCAACTTCCAAAAGTTGTCCGACAATGGTGTGCTTTGTACATTTTGACCTCGAAATGTGCTTGGCGCCACAACGGCAGACACTTTTTCGACATCTCAACTTCCAAAAAGTCGTCCGAGAATGGTGTGCTTTGTACATTTTGACTTCGAAACGTGCTTCGCGCCACAACGGCGTGCAATTTTTCATCTCTCATCTGGCCAGCTGGCTCCGCACCCGCCGCTTTAGCGCGCCTACTTTTCGACCCTCCGGAGCCACAAATCATTTGAAAAACACAGTGTTTCGCGACTTTCCTACCTTTTCGCGCATCTGCATCTTCTTTCGTCTGACTCTTTCTCTTCTCTGATCTTCTCTCTTCTAATTTTTCTCTTCTCTCTGCCTCTGCCCTGCTCTGCTTTTCATCTGTCCATATTGTCGGAAGTTTGACTTCTAAACTTCCTTCGAACATTAGGATGATAAGAATAACAAACTCTGCTGCTTGGGGTAACTCTAACCAGGGTCTCCTGCACGTTTTCATTTTTTTCGGCCTGGAATTGCATCTGAGTCATTCAACAGGGAATACTTTTTCCATATATAACTGTGTATACCAACGAACAGGTATGTGAGAGGTTGGAGGGCAAAAATATGTGATTCATGGGATTTAACCAACACTTTCCTGGGAATGAAATGGGTATATTGGGGGTACCTTGGAGGATCATCCCATGGATCGTCAGTGACTGACCGCAAAGAATGAGGGCTCGGTAATTGGTCCGTAATCCTGCATGTAAAACTAGTTAAATCCCCAACTACAAACCAGTTAAAACTAAGTTGATGTGGAAATTATGTCTGTATGTATTTGCATGTCTATCCGTTTTGTAGCATGTCCGAAAATGATGGCAGGCGTGGGACATTTGAAGACGATCCGCCAAGATGCATGTCGCGTGGCAGGTGCAGTAGAAGTAAGTAGATCGATCGACAAATCTCTGGAAAGAAAGATAGATAGACAGATAGACTCATAGATAGACACATACATAGGCACATTAGATAGATGCATGGATGGATGGATAGATAGGTAGATAGATAGGTAGGTAGATAGATAGATAGATAGACGGATGGGCGGAAAGACAGATAGATGGTAGGTAGATAGACAGATAGACCGGTAGACAGACAATTAAATAGATAGATGGATGGATGGATAGATAGGTACACGGACAGATAGGTAGATGGCCCGACACTCCAATCACCTTTCGGTCCATCAGTGGATTCGCTCTGCCATCCGTGAGTCACAACAACCAACCTCTCCTATAGGTTTCCTATTTTTGAAACTTCCACCACCCGCCTTGTGCGGTAATGCTGGTCAAAGGAAGTTGGGAAGCAATCTTCCGAGTTACGGATGACTTTAATTCAAGTGACTTTACATCACAAAACAATACATCACATAACAGTACATCACATAGCAATACATCAACGAAGGGTGGTGTGAGGCTTTACATCACATAACAATACATCCCATCACAACACATCACATAACAATACCCCACATAACAATACATCAACAAAGGGTGGTGTGAGACTCTACATCACATAACAATACATCACATAACAATACATCATTCAACAATACATCACACAACAATACATCACACAACAATACATCACATCAGAATACATCACACAACAATACATCTGACGAAGGGTGTCGAAGTGGTGATGATGAAGGGTGGTGACTGGCTGTAATGGCTGCATGAATGTTGCATGGGGCTTGTTTTGGGGAGGCAGCCGGAGCACGAAACCTTGCGTTTTTCCGTGTAAAGTGCCTGCAGCCAGCGATGAAGGGTACCTCGTGTGTGTGTTTGTGTGTGTGTGTGCGGCGGGTGCGGCTGCGATCGTTTCAACGTGGCATTGGTTCTCCCTTGATGTTCTGCAACGTGTCGTTGTTCTATAGGGTCTTTTGAAATCTGTGCTTGCAGATCGCAGTGTAATGGCTGCATCAAGGTGGCTTGGTGCCGCGGCTGCATGCATAATAGTATTGTCTTTTGCAGCTGGACATTGCAAATCGTGTTGGAGTGGCTGCATCAAGGCTGCGATTGTGATTTGTCAGCAGATTTTCTCAATTTTGGCGCCAGTGATTTTCCATATAAAATTCCTTTAAAGAGTGCTTCAAAATCATGTTTTTTTTGCTTTGGCCCCGAGATATCAGGTTTTGGAGCTGCAATTTCTCACGCCGTTGTACGTAGTTCTATTGTGTTTTGCAATTCAATATTTGAATATCGCATTGTAATGGCTGCGTCCAGGCTGCTTGGTGCCGCAGCTGCATGCGCAATACTATTGTCTTTTGCAGATGGACATCGTAAATCGTATTGGAGTGACTGCATCAAGGCCGCGATGGCAATTTGTCAGCAGATTTTCAAAAATTACATAGTACTGGAACGTGCTGCGTGCAAGCTTTGGAGTACAAAGTAGTACTGGGGAGAACTTTGTGCAAGCTTTGTAGTACAAAGTAGTGATGGGAAGTACTTTGTGCAAGCTTTGCAGTACAAAGTAGCACTGGGAATTACTTTGCGCATGCTTTGTATTACAAAGTAGTACTGGGAAGTGCTTTGTGCAAGCTTTGTCGTACAAAGTAGTACTGGGAAGTACCAAGTAGTACTTGGACCTACCTTGTGCAAGCTTTGTAGTACAAAGTAATATTAGGAATTGCTTTGAGCAAGGTTTGTAGTACAAAGTAGTACTGGGAAGTACTTTGTGCAAGCTTTGTAGTACAAAGTAGTACTGGCAAGTGGTTTGAGCAAGGTTTGCAGTACAAAGTAGTACTGGGAAGTACTTTGTGCAAGCTTTGTAGTACAAAGTAGTACTGGGAAGTGGTTTGCGCAAGCTTTGCAGTACAAAGTAGTACTGGGAATTACTTTGTGCAATCTTTGTAGTAAAAAGTAGTACTGGGAATTTCTTTGTGCAAGCTTTGCAGGACAAAGTAGTACTGGGACGTACTTTGTGCAAGCTTCGTAGCATAAAGTAGTAGTGGGAACAAGGTTTGTGGTCCTTGGACCTACCTTGCGCAAGCTTTGTAGTACAAAGTAGTATTAGGAATTGCTTTGAGAAAAGTTTGTAGTACAAAGTAGTACTGGGAAGTACTTTGTGCAAGCTTTGTAGTACAAAGTAGTACTGGGAAGTGGCTTGCGCAAGCTTTGCAGTACAAAGTAGTACTGGGAATTACTTTGTGCAATCTTTGTAGTACAAAGTAGTACAGGAAGTACTCTTTGCAAGCTTTGTAGTACAAAGTAGTACAGGGGAGAACTTTGTGCAAGCTTTGTAGTACAAAGTAGTACTTGGACGTACTTTGCGCAAGCTTTGTAGTACAAAGAAGTACTGGGACGTGCTTTGTGCAAACTTTGCAGTACAAAGTAGTACAGGAAGTACTCTTTGCAAGCTTTGTAGTACAAAGTAGTACAGGGGAGAACTTTGTGCAAGCTTTGTAGTACAAAGTAGTACTTGGACGTACTTTGTGCAAGCTTTGTAGTACAAAGTAGTACTGGGACGTGCTTTGTGCAAGCTGTGCAGTACAAAGTAGTACTGGGGAGTGTTTTGTTCAAGTCTTGTAGTTAGAAAATAGTGCTGCTCGCTCCAGCTTGTGCTGCAGCAAGTGCCATTTGACGTAAAGAATGTAAGGTGTGCTCGGATGAGATGACAGCAGCTTAGAAGAACTTAGGCGACACTTGCGAAGAAAGGAGATGAGATGACAAAAGCTGAAACGAGATCAGATTAGGTGAGAAGAGCTCAGATGAGATGAGATGAGTTGAGATGAAGTATGAAGTTGAGATGCAACGTGAAGGGTGAAGTCTAAGCTTTGGAACGCAAAGCAGTGCTTGGCGTTGCATTGCATCGGGGTCGCGCGCAGGTCGTGTTCTTGGACAACAAACACGCACGCACGGGCCTGGCTGAGGCACGGCGCATGCAAGTTCTATAGATGAGAAAGGCCTTGTAGTATAACCCTAAGGCAACTTCCGCCCCGCCTCGTGCGGGCACTACTAGTACTATTGTTATTACTAACATGATTGGCATTTTACCATCCAGAATCCAAATGTGCCGGACTAACATATTTTTATATAAACTAACATAGGTTGGCCCATGATTGGCATTTTTCTGCATAAGAGTGTGCTCATATCCTGCTTGGCCATTTTGTGCAAAAACTGTCATCATGATATTCTCCACCGCAGGTCCTCAACGGCACCGTTTCCGACGACGCGGGCGTCCCTTCAACACCGGCGCCAGCGAAGAAGGAGATCTTCGCACCGCCACCACGAGAGGAGGTGAACGGTGTAGAAACCGTGGGTGATCAACGAAGAAAATGGTGACAAATGGTCGTTTTGTGAAAAATGGGAATTTCAATATTGAGAATGTGTTTTTTCATTCTTACGTACGCAAACTAATAAAAAGAATCCTACCCTTGATAATCCATGTGATACTGAAAAATGGTCGTTTTGCTAGGGAAAAGTGCAGGTTTTACCATGCAAAACGGAATTTAACCATGAAACAATCATGAAAAACAACTGGATTTAATCATGAAAAATGGGAAGTGTGGGCAAGAAAAGTTAGGATGCAAAGTGGTTTATGAATTGCGAGATTGGTTTTGGGATTCAACTCTTAAAATTGAAGTTTATCCAACAAGAATGGGGATTAAATCAGCTATGAGTTTGAGATAACTTGAGTGGATTGTTTCATGTTGTGTCCCATCAAGAAGGGTTGGTGCTGATGGGTTTTAATTTTCTACTCAAGTGGATATGATGATGAACCCCAAGCGGCGGTCCTTTTCTTGCCGCTTTGTGGCGGTTCAAATTTGTTACCTTGAAAATTGCTACCATAATTAATCAAATTTGACAAAACGACTGCCAAATGTGGACTCTGAAATGTGGAAATTGCACAAAATGACTACCAAATATGGAAATCCCAAGGTGGTTTCCACCCCTCGGAACTGATCCAAAACACCAAGCTGATCAAAACCTGGGGCTGCAATGTTCCTTGGGAAATCCATCTAGGGAATCTCGGTTGGCGAGTCTTTGTGAAGTAAATCCCACACATCCTTGACGTATATTGTGCCGACACCTTCTGAATTGTATCCCCAGTGTTGGTCTTCTCGCATGCCCAATTCTGCTGCTACCAATCGACGCAGCACTGGGTCTTGCTCAGCTGCGATATATACAGCAGGAGGCTTGCCGAGTTTCTTTTTTATGATGTGATAGATGGATCCAACCCCATCAAACATAGAAATGATGCCCACTCTGGCTGGGCCAGCTTCATCGACGGTAGTCAAAGGTAAGCCTTCTGGGTCAATGGCAGTGAGCAAGGACAGCTCGCCTTCGTTCTGGCTACTCTTCGGTTTGCCTGACTTGGTCTTTGCTGATCTCGAGTGGGATTTCCTCTTTTTGCTACGCATCTGAGTCTCCTGAGAGGTTGGCCCAGATGTTCGTTCTTTATTCTTCCTTGGTGGCTTGAGTATTCCTTTGACAACTCTGAGCTGCTTCTTCGTGTAACTTGCTTTATCTACAGCACCAGCAATTGTGACCAGGTCTTTGGTGGTAAGAATGGCTTTGGGGGATTTGATCGGTAACGTTAGCACACCAACAATCAAAAGTTTGCTGTTGATTCTGCTACTATCAAGGACTCTAAGTCCGTTGCTATGGTCATAGACTGAGATATTTCCGGTCTGTCCAGCCTGTATGACTAGCAGAGGACTATCTTGGTCAGTCCGATTCACCGTTACCAGGCAGCGAAGTTCGTACGTTCTATTTTGAAAGGTGAATTGGTGGCCAAGCGGAAAGTGCCCAGCCTCTATTCTGGGGAGTGTTTCTCCTTGTTCTGCTTTTAATCGGATCAATGCAACGGGCCCGAATTTAAGGCAGCAGCAGGAAGCTTTTTCCAGGTTAAGGCATGAGCATTTTTGTCTCTCTGTGATCTCTGCAATATTCCATGTAGGAGTCATGCGGTGGAGAACCTCTTCAAAGGTAGTGGTAGATGTCACGGCTGCATTAAAGTGGTCAACAGACAGATTCATCTGATGCGCACACACATTACACTGAAGTTCATATTTGGTGAAGAGGAAAGCTCGCGTGTTTTGGTTCAAATTCCCACACACGGTTGCATAGAACGCAAAGACAGCGTCACCTTTCATAGCCTCACTCGGTGGTAGGTTATCTAATGTGGCAAGCGAGATACTGGCATCGAAACAGCTGAAGGGAAAGACCGTAGGGACTTGATTGACCCAGCTCCATCCAACTCCTACTGCAGCAAGGGCAGCTTGTCTAACATGAACACTAATGTGTGCCGGCACCCACGGGCCTTTCGACAATAGATAGAGGGCAGCATGAAAGCTAGAAAAATGTTTGCCATAGATCGCTAGCTGCTGGGCTCTACCGGCAAGGTGTAGTCGCAGGTTGGAGTCAAAATTAGGAAACCATTTTCCGCTTGCCTCCAGGAAAGGTGCCAGTGTTGACAGGTGAGCTGGCACAGCTGGTTCTTCAAATAGGGTGTCACTGCTGCAGTTGATTAAACCTTCCTGTTCAATTGTTTCCTGATCCCCAGTAATGTCGATGCAAATCTGCGTACCATCGTTAGCAGATAGAGTCGAACTTTTCTTGAGGGCAGCATGAATAGGTGGTTCTGCTCTCTTGTCTAACACCTCTGACTTCCGTGCTGGTTTTGTGATGATGCGCTCGGATGCATGCAATGGGGGGTCAGTGACTGGGTCACTTGCTCCTTTAGCACCTTGTCCCTCTGGTAAGGTTTGCTCATGTTGACGAGCCGCTATGTTAGGAGACACCTGGTTATCTGGACGGTTTCTTTGGCTGGGAGGTGTAGCAGTGATGGGATCGTTGTTGTTAGGATCTGCAAGGCTGGGCATGGGTTTGTTTGGACCGTTATCCGCAATCGAGGAGATCGGGGAAATAGGGTCTGGCGACAAGAAGGGGGTTTCTCCTAGCGGACTAACAGGACATGGGCACAGGGCGTTGCTGAGTTGTTCTTCTTGTAATAAGGATGAGGCTACCACACAGGGGAGTGCCTTCACCGGGGAGCCATCAGGCTGTTTTCCTTGACTGGGTCTTTTAGTCGGCAAGGGACCCTTTTGCCCGCTTGTGAGATGAGGCGACGTTTGAATCCCTTTGTACTTGGGTGTGGATGGTGGGTCGGGCTTGCACGGCAGCATAACACTGTCCTCGCAATCGCCATTAATTGGGTCGATAGTGGAATCTACCACCATGCGACTATTGGGCATCTCTAATTGGGGGGGTTGGCTAACTGGTAGGTTTGTCCACGTCATTGTGGGACTGACAGTTCGGTGAGTGTTTGGAGTGCCCCGTTGCGAGGGGTGGTTATAAGCCTCTTTAGTCACCTGTGCGGCCACGCACCCATTGGTGTGACTGGGGAGGAGGTTCTTATTGCAGCTGGGCATGTCGCGACGTACTGACTTAGTGCTCTCTGGGCTGAGGTACGGGTCATCTTGACGAGGTTGTATATCCTGTGGTAGTGGGGAGGGGGGGGAAACGGTGTCAACAGGGGCATAGGGAGGCGGATGGAGGCTAACCTTACAAGCATCAGCTGGTACCGGGCTTTGGTTAATTTCCTGCTCTTGCGTCTGCTGTGTTTTGCCTATTGCGGTGGGTTCCTTAGCCAAGGTAACGCAAGGGGCCACTGATGCCGCAGGTTTGCTAACAGTGCTGTTCACTTTGGCATCATTCGTTAGCTCGAAGCTCCAGACTTTAACAACAAGAGGTCGTGTTGCTGACATAAGGAGAGGAATAACTTTGGTGGGTTTAAGCAAGTCCGAGAATAAGGTGAGTTATTGAGTGATTGAGGACTTAATGGGGCTTTACTAGGGACGTAAACCAACAATGATCTTACAAAATAAATCATGGATCTTGGCAATCGCATGTTTTCGTTTGATTCACCCACACCAGGGTTTTTTTTACCATGATAAACCCATGACTAGTACAGGATGGG